TAAAGGGTTATAAAAATTGTACATATCCTTTGACTCGGTAATACTGTTGTTAGGTCTGTATCCTTAAGAGGTCAAAGAAAAGGAAAAAGGACACATATGTACAACAATATTGATAGCAACTGTCTTGGTGGTGGTAAAGAATTGGAAATTTAGGGGATGCCCATCAACTGAGGAATGGCTGAACAAGTTGTGATACATGATTGTGATGGAATAATATTATGGTATAAGAAATGATTGATGGTATGGTTTCATAAAAACCTGGGAAGACAGATGAACTGATGAAAAGTAAAGTGAGGTGCAAAGCCAAGATGGAGGAGTAAAAGCAGCGACTTGCTTGAGCTCTCCCCCAAACCCTTCCAAATACCTGTAAAAATTGGCTCTAAACAAATTCTAGAGCAGCAGAACACCCACAAAAAGACAGAGTGAAATAAATTTCCAGCCCAAGATAACGTGGATGGTTGATTGGAAAGATTTATCACACAAGACTGGGAAAGGAACGCAGTTCAGCATGGGCACACAGGCAAAAACCAGGCCTTAGGAAACGTGGAGCAGGCCTCAGGGGACTGAATCACAGGAAGCTGTGGTGTTTTCCACACTTCTCAACCCACAAACGCCAAAGACAACTTAGAAAGTCAGTAAGAAAAGTATGGGACTTCAGTGAGAGAGGATCTTGGTCCCAGCCATAGTCTCGGTGCAGCACTGGGGCAGCTGCTGCTTCCTGGAGCCGTCTGAGGCAGAATCAAGTGGCTGATCACAGGGGGATTGCAGGGGTCCCTTTACTGGTGCTGAGGCAGGATTCTCTCACTTTGCCCATGGTTGGATCTGGGTCACAGTTCTGGGTGGCAATCATGGAGTTAGGAAAAGTGCTGGCATGGCGGAGCTCATAGTGGCAGTGAGGAGTGTATCCTCCTCACAGTTCCAAGGCAGAAAAGAGTACATGTGGTCGATCATAGACCATAGTACAAGGCCAGGAAAAGTATGCCCTTGACCTTACCATGTTGGAAGAACTGAAATGTTATAGGTCCCTAGAAGTATCTCTGAAAACAGCTATACAAAACTCCTGAAGCTTGGGACAGTACATTGTCCACACTGGAAGCAGACCCATGACCTTAACAAAGAGTTTATAACTCAAGTAATTGGCTGGGATCATAAGCAAACTGAACCAAAAAAGTCAGACCATAGAATCTTTCTTTGGTGATGAAAAAGACCAAAACATACAACCAGAACAAGACAACAAAGTCAAAGCTCCTACATCCAAAGCCTTCAAGAAAAATGTGAATTGGTCCCAGTCCATGGTAGAGATCAAAAAGGATTTTGGGAAGCAACTAAGAGAAGTAGAGGAAAAACTGGGAAGAGAAATGAGAGTGATGCAAGAAAATCATGAAAAACAAGTCAACAGCTTGCTAAAGGAGATCCAAAAAAATACTGAAGAAAATAACACCTTAAAAATAGCATAACCCAAATGGCAAAAGAGGTCCAAAAAGCCAATGAGGAGAAGAATTCCTTAAAAAGCAAAATTGGCCAAATGGAAAAGGAAGTCCAAAATATTACTGAAAAAAATACTTTGTTAAAAATTAGAATGCAGCACATGGAAGCTAACGGCTTTATGAGAAATCAACATATTATAAAACAAAACCAAAAGAATGAAAAAAATAGAAGACAATGTGACATATCTTATTGGAAAAATAACTGACCTAGAAAATAGATCCAGGAGAGACAATTTAAAAACTATTAGGCCATCTGAAAGCCATGATCAAAAAAAGAGCCTAGACATCATCTTTCAAGAAATCATCAAGGAAATCCACCTTGATACTCTAGAACCAGAGGGTAAAATAGAATTAGAAAGAATCTACCAATCACCTCCTGAAAGAGATCCCAAAATGAAAACTCCCAGGAATATTGTAGTCAAATTCCAGAGTTCCCAGGTCAAGGAGAAAATATTGCAAGCAACCAGAAGGAAACAATTCAAGTATTGTGGAAACACAATCAGGATAACAGAAGATTTTGCAGCTTCCACTTTAAGGGAGTGGAGGAATATTATATTCCAGAGGGCAAAGGAGATAGGATTACAACCAAGAATCACCTACCCAGCAAAACTGAGTATAATCCTTCAGGCGGAGAATGGACATTCCGTGAAATAGAGGACTTTCAAACATTCTTCATGAAAACACCAGAGCTGAATAGAAAATTTGAATTTCAAGTACAAGACTCAAGAGAAACAAGAAGAGGTAAACAGAAAAGAGAAATCATAAGGGACTTATTAATGTTGAACTGTTTACATTCCTACATTTGTAACTCATGAGACCTTTGTCAGTATTAGGGTACTTGGAGGGGGGAAAATTACACACACACACACACACACACACACACACACACACACACACACACACACACACATGCATGCATGTATGTATGTGTATATGCATGTACATGTGTATGTATGTATGTGTGTATGTATATATGGAGAGAGAGAGAGGGCACAGGGTGAGTTGAAGATGAAGGGGTGATATCGGAGAATAAAATTAAGGGGTGAGAGAGGATTATACTGGGAGAAGAAGAAAGAGAGAGGTAGAATGGGATAAATTATCTCACATAAAACAGACAAGAAAAAGCTTTTACTGTGGAGGGGAAACAGGAGAAGGTGAGAGGGAATGACTGAATCTTATTCTTATTGGATTTGGCTTAAGGAGAGAATAACACTCACACTCAATTGGGTATGGAAATCTATCTTACCCTGCTGGAAAATGGGGGGAAGGGGACAAAACAGCAGGGAGATAATAGAGGGGAGGGCAGATTGGGAGAGGGGCTTATCAGAATCAAACACTTCTAAGGAGGGACAAAGTCAAAAGAGAGAATAAATAGGCGGTGGGATAGCATTAAGGGAAATATACTTAGTTTTTCACAACATGACTACTATGGAAGTGTTTTGCGTGACTACACATGTATAACCTGTATTGAGTTGCTTGCTTCTCATTGAGTATGGGTGGGGAGAGAGGAAAGGAAAAAATTTGGAACCCAAAATTTTAAAAACAAATGTTAAAAAAAAATTGTTTGCACATGCAATTGGGAAATAAGATATACAGGAAATGGGGTATAGAAATCTATCCTGACTTAAAGGAAAATTCAAGGGGAAGGGGATAAGAGAAAGGGGGGAGGAGATAGATGGGAGGGCAGATTAGGGGAAGGGATATTCAGAATGCATGCCATCTTGGTGTGGGGAGAGGGATGAGATGGGGAGAATATTTGGAACTCAAAATCTTGTGGAAGTGAATGTTTGAAACTAAAAATAAATATATTAACAGTCTTAAAAAAAACTGAAGTGAGCAAAACTAGAACATTGCACAAAGTAACAACGATATTATAGTTATGATCAATTGTGAAAGAGTTAGCCACTTTACTCAGTATAATGATCCAAAACCATTTCAAAGGACTCACAATGAAAAATACTATCTATATAGAGAAAATTGATTAACTCTGAGTGCAGATTAGCAAAAAATTTTTCATTCACTTTATTTTCTTGCTTTTTTTGCAACATGACTAATACGAAGATATGCTTTGCATGATTTCACATGTCTAATTGATATCATATTACTTGCTTTCTCAATGAGTGGAGGAGGAACTGGAAGGAGGAAAAGAATTTGGAACTCAAAATTTTTTAAAAATTATAAAAATAAATGAATGTTTTGAAAAATAGAACATCGGCAGCATTTGATTTTCACTGCAAAATTCTACAAAATATGTGGGGATCAGTTTACCACGGTAAGCAAAATTCTTGTAAATATTCAATTACACAATGTTCCTAAAAGAAATAAAGAACAACTTAAATAGCTAAAGGAATGGTTAATGCTCATGACTGGACCATACCAATATAATGAAAATGACAATTAACCAAATAACAAATAGACAAAGTTCATTTAAAATTTTAAACTTCTACCAAACTGTGAAAAATGTAGAACTTAATAAAATTCATATGGAAAAATAAAAGATCTAGAAAATCAAGATAAGTTTTTAAAACAAGTGAAGTTGAAGGGAGAATAGCACTTTCCAACATTAAACTACATTATAAAGCAGCAGTCATCAGAACCATCTAATACTGGTTTAAAAATAGGTTAATCAAGAGAATCATCTAGGCAAGAGAATATCAGAAACAACTGAATTTAATAATCCAATGTAAGAGAAAATGGAAAGCATAAATTACTTAGAAAAGAACTCCTTATTTTATAAAAACTTAGGAATTTGTGAAAGTAATCTGGAAGAAATTAGGTTTAGATTAACAATGTACACTATATAGTACATTCTAAATACATACATCACCTCAATATTAAAGATCATACTATTAAAAAAATTGAAGAAAATCTTATCATATAATTTTCACAGCTATGAGCAGGAGATGTAAGCTCAACCAAACAAGGAATAAAGATACTTACAGCTGTAAAAAAAGATAACTTTTATTACAAAACACTGAAAAGCTTCTGCACAAACAAAATTAATGCACCTTGGATAAGAGGGGAAACAGTCAAGTGAGAAACAGAAATCCTTGCATCAAATTTCTTTGATAAAGATTGGGTATCCAAATAATTAATAGATATTTATGTATGACTAAAAGCTATTCCCCTATAGAGAAGAGGTCAAAAATATCAACAAACACTTCTTAAAATAATTGCAAACTATTGTTATCCTTATGAAAGAATATTTCAAATTCATAATGACAAGAAATGTCAATCAAAACAACTCAGAGGTTTTACCTCATGTACTACAAATTGGCAATAACAATAGTCAAAGAGATTGTGGGAAGATAGGTCCAGGAATACACTGCTAGTGGAGCTGTGAATCAGTACAACCATTTTGGAGAGCAATTTGGAATTATGCAAATAATGTGACAAATCAGTAAGCCCTTTCACCAATGTTTCTATTACTAGACTTATAGCTAAGGAGGCCATTGATAAGGAAAAGTCTCCATCTATACCAAAATATTTGTAATAAAACCTTTTTTGTGACAGGAAAGAATTGAAAATAAAGTGATGATCACTGACTTGAAAATGGCAAATTGTGGAAGAAGTGACAAATGTGATGACTTTAGAGAACTATGCAAGGATCTATATGAACTAGAGAAGAACAAAGTAAGTAGAACCAAGAAAACAATACAAATAATTACTACCCCAATGTAAATGGAAAGAACAACCACCAAAAAAAAGTGATTGTACAAAATTACAAAGAACAAGCATGACTCTAAACAGCTATGTGAAAATTTCATCCACTCTACCCCTTCGCAGAAGTGGGAGATCCATGAGTGTGGTACATTGTTCATATTTTCAGACTGTTGATTTAATTGATCAATTATCATGATTTTTTCCTCTTTTTCTTTTTTTTGTCTTTCTACAATATTGCTTTATGGGATAGCTCTTTGTGAAGGGGACAGGAGAAACTGGGGGAAATTGTTGGTATGTAAAAAAGAAGACATCAGAAAAACCTTACTTAAAAAAATAGAAAGGAGACATTTGGTGGTGTTGAAGGAAGTATCAAAGAAATCTCTGAAGGCAATAGTTAACTTAGCCTGTAATCCTTACAAAAATTAGCAGAGGGCTACTGTGGTAGGAGCAGTATCTGCTATATATACTAAGCTAGGTTTTATGTTTGTATGTTTGGGTTTTTAAGGGATTTAAACCATTTTCAAGACTTAAATAGCTCAAAGGACTTAGGCTTATGTCACTGAAGAAGCTTCATGGTGGCTGAAAGTTGTTGTCCTTCAGTATACCAGTGGGGCCATCTCAGAGACAGAAAAGTTGTGCTCCAATTAATATATTGTGTATTCCTGCTGTGTATCCTTTCTGTGTTATGGCTAAGTAAATCTCCTTCTGTCAGCAGTTAAGTGTTCTACAAGTACTTCACTTCATCCTAACCCCAAATCCAAAGAATCAGACTGACTTGGATCAAGACTGACTCACAAAAGTTACTAAATTCTTGTGTGACCTTACTGTCAACTATGACAGTGGTCAACTATGGACCAGCAAAGTCTACATGATACTGTGTATAGAGGAGTGCAAGGAACACTGTACAGCAAAAGTTACAGATCTGAGACATTAGGTAACAAAGGATTGCTGTCAATTTAGCATGAAACAAGGCCAAAAAGAATAAATAAATAAAAGTATCCTGGGTTGTATTCTCAGTGAAGTTGGATAGGAGCTGGGGTAATAGGTTGCAGCTTAGCTGAAGGACAACTCAGTTGAAAGCCCAGTTTTTTGTTTTTTTCTATTTCAGCATATTAAAGGAACTATGTCATTTAAAATATGAAAGCTGACAGAACGACAAGCAGCACTTAGATTATATCTTGGAAATAGCTACTTCCGGTGTCCTGCTGTAATTACATTTAATATGCTGCCTTTGAAGTGTTATGGTGAAAATCTACCAAACTCAATGCACTGTCTCTGTGCTACCTAGTAGATTGTATTTGCCCCTGACAAGTTGAGCCAGACTTTAAGTTGCAGTTCCAAGAAACATGCAAGAGGGCTTCTTTTGCCTTGAGGTCATAACCAGGCTAAAGGAAGAAAACATATTCCAAACGTTAATGGGTTTATTTTCAGCTCTTTTTCTATTTCTTTTCAAGCACTCACAGCATCTAGTCTTCATGCCATTTCTTTGCTGTTAGACTATGAAGCTTGAAACGGCCTGGAGACAATTGTTCTTTCTTTTGCATTTTTGCAGAATATACGATATATTGTTTTTTACACAGTAACATGCAATAAGCATTGCCTACTGAGAGGTCAGTGACAACAAAAGGAAGAGATGGCCATCTATTTGGGAAATTGGATTTGGAGGATATAATACCAACTGCTCTGGAAATTGTTCCAACCCTAGGAAGCTTGGAAATAATAAAGTTAAGTCATTTAAATGGTTTTAAGTAATTTCCATATGGGTAAGATTAGGCACTTGATAACTAGTCCTCAATTCCAGACCCATCCTTCATTCCACCCATTTTTGCCATTATCTGAATACTAAATACTAAAATTGTTTATAATATGTCTCTCATTTCAGTGCAAGACTTGAAGGAAGCTGTGGGCTCCAAAAGGTAGAGTACAGGAGGGAGAATATTCCCCACCTCTGCTCTAGGCATTGAGAATTTGCAGAGGCAGAATGGAATATTTTGTATAAATACATGTAGGGAATAAAGTGTGTGAATGGAAACAATGTGTACAAACTTTTAAAAATAGGCTAATATGGATTCTAAAAGGATTTAAATGCTAAACAGGGGAATTTATATTTTAACCTAAAGGCAATTAAGAGCAATATTGAAGTTTCTATAATAGAAGAGTGATGTGATCATATGTGTACTTCAGGAATATCAATTAGCTGAATGGAGAAGGGATTGGAGACGAGAGAGACAAAATGTAGAGAGGCCAATGATAAGCCTAAAACAATAATCCTGACTGGATATGATGAGGGCATAGACACAGGATGAAGTAGGGAGAAGGGGGCAAAAGAGTGAGATGTTGCAGAAGTAGAATTGACAAGACTTGACAACTTAATGGAAGTGTGAAGTGAGTTCAAGAGCTGAGAATGATTACTGGGTTCCAAATTTAGGTGACTAGAATAATGATGGTTCCATTAACAGAAAAAGGGAAGTTAGAAGGAGGGATGCATTTAGGAAGGAAAATAAAGAATTCTGCTTTGGACATAGAATTATGAATTGGAGATGTCTATAAGTCACACAGATGAAAATGTCAATCAGGCAGATGGCAATGTAGAACTCAAGATCAGTAGAGAGATGTGCACTGGAGATATAGATTTTGGAATCATCTGTGTAATGATGATAATTAAATCCACAGAAACTAATGAGATCCGCCAAAAAAAAAAAAGAATGTTAGCATGAAAAGAAAAAAAGAGACCAGAACAGAGCCCAGGGTACAGCTTCACGCAGAGACTGAACCACAGATGGTTAAACTGCAAAAGAAATGAAAATGATTGGTATGACAAGTAGGAAAAGAAATATGATGAACAATGTCGTGAAAATCCAAGGAGGAGAGAATTTCTATAAAACAGGGCAAGTCAACTAGTGTGAAATGCTGCAGAGAGATTAAGAAGGACGAGGACTAAGAAAAGAATATTGATTTCAACAATTAAGAAATCATTAACGAACAACACAGAGCCATTTCTATTGAGTGGTAGGAACAGAAAGTAGTGATGGAGAAGTGAGTAGAAGATAAGAAATGGGAAACAAGAAGGGGATAGCTTTTTTTCTAGAAGCTTGGATATGACAGAGTAGATAACTATTATCCTTTCTAGCTCTAGTTCTCTAACCTTATGAAAAATAAGAATGTATTTAACCTGATATCTTAGACACAGCCAGAAATACTACATAATTCCCAAACATCTGGGATCTGATTCTAGCTTAAGCTAACTCAACTAATCAGCATTTGGGAAAAGTTACCTCCTACACTCTTACAAATGAATTCTTATAGATGGCCCACCCCAAAGTGTGTCTCACTTGGAAATAAAACACACTGGGTCAAATACTTTGACTAAATGAGATCTTTGAAAAAGCTAAATCTGCTAAGATCCAAGGCCTTCCCTCCAAATGCATTAGAAAATGATCCTGTACTTTGAAAGTTAATAGTGGTTACAAGGTGGATCCTTTGTCACAGTTGTTGGCAGATGGTAGTCTGAAATGTTTCTTTGAAGCTAGATAATTTCCTAGGAAGGCTTAACGCCTCAAAATTGCCACACACACACACACACACACACACACACACACACGTGTACAATTAGGCTCAAGTTCCTATTTAAAAATAAATTTGCTATTAAATTTCCCCCAGATGCTGCACTAAACATCCCTCCTCTGCCCTCCACCTCCCGTCAAACCTGCTTGTTCTGTTAAGGACTTTAGGCTAAAAAAAAAAGTGAAAGAGAATATGTTGATGCCAAAAGTAGTATAGAAAACTAGGTCCTTCATATACCCAACTGCCATTTTTCAAAGCTTGTTATGCATTAGGTTCCTGCAGACTTTCACGCTTGTTGAAATCACAGTGTCAAAGGTAAGAAAGTAATTAATCTAACGCAAAATCATTTTGAATCCATATGTTGGATTTACCCACAGAAATAAAAATATGATAAAACCAAATACATTCCTTCTGCAGACAGCAACTGTTCTGCAGCTTAATAGGTAATCTTTGAAAGTTGCTATTGCTGGACAATGTAATAATACATCTCTCCTAGGAGGTTTATAAAAATAAGGCAGTGATCAAAAAAGACAGTGTTTTAGAAAAAATATTTTCATCACATTAGATCTTTGGATCTTATAAAAATTCTATCATTCTTAAAAATATAGAAAATGTTGCTACTTCTGAACATAAATAAATATATGAAAGACCCATGCAAAAGGTGATTTATAAGTTATACTTTTCATATGTCTGCATATAAGTGTGTGTTGGGGGCAGGGTGGAAGGTGAGTGGGGAAAAGGGTATAAAAAGCACCCATAATTTTCTCTAAGCACTATTACTTCCAATTTCACAGTTTTGTCCATTAACCATAAATTCATATCATGTAACAGCAGGCTCCTGATGGTACTGATGCATATATTTTCAATGAGAGCAGAAGTCATATGGCAATATACATTCAACCTAGCTCTGCACAATAAAATCTTATCACAATGCAGCGTTACCAAATGCCATTCCAGAGGCCATGCTTTCAGCCCATAGCTCTTGTTTTATTAGGAAACATCAAATATGGCAAAGTGATTCTTTGCCTGGCATGTTGATACAGCCTGGAAAAACTAAAAATGTGCAAAATAATGGTAGTCAAAAATATACATCAAGAAAAGAGTTCAAATGTATTTCTTGAGGCAATAATAGCGTGGAAGTGCTCTGAAACTGAACATCGTACTCCATTTGTCTTCTAAGTGATAATTTTACAGCAAGAACATTTGTGATTCACCTACCTCCATTCCATTAGGTGACCAAATAATATGCCAAGCTAGATGAATAAATAGAACCCAAAGTAGGTGGTCTATATCTTGGGAAAGATGAGGAAATCTGGCCATTTATGCAATCTCATATTAGGAGGCATTAATTTTCTTTTTGCCTGTATATGACCAGGGAACTTCAGAATCAGTCAGATGGAAGAGAAGGCCCTATTACTCAAAGCCACAAATGGAACCATGGAGGGATTACAGTGCTTTGTTTCAACGGCAAAATACAGTAATAAATATGAACCATGTATGCTATAAATTAAGCTGTGATTGTTAAGCCAAGATGTGTACTGATTTATTAACTGATCTATTTTGCATCTAAGGCTACTACCAAGTTAAATATATACCTGACACTGAGAATGTATACAAGGCTATGTACATGGAATGGATAAGTAGTCAGTGAAATGAAGGGAAATATGTGCCTTTATTTTAATTATTAAATGGAAAGAAACATTCCTAGACATTTAAATGATGATTGATCTAATCAGTCATTTCAATTAGTTGTCCAAACCAACTTCAACAACCGCTGAAATCAGGGCCCTTCAAAATTTCGCTAGAGAAACTGACCTGGCACTTAATTGATCCAACTGTCATGAAACTATCACTCCTTTGAATGACATTTTTTTTCTATTATACCCTACCTTAGGTTCAGGTTTAATGTCATATGCAGATACAGAGGTTCTAATTAGTGCTAACAATGAATTTGGGTGAAGTTGATATATGCATTTGAATTTATACTGTTCAAACTTATAAATATGTAAAATATAGTAATTAATTATATCCCAGTGAAAATATGTAGTGCAAACTCTAATAATCTGACCACTCTATAGGATTTATTAGTTATACTAATGAGGACTGGGCTGTCCACATGTGTTTAAAATAAATATATAACACCCAGAAGCTAGGTTGTACAGTGGTTAGAGCACTAGCCCTAAAGTCAGGAGGACTAAGTTCAAATCCAGCCTCAGAGACTTACTAGCTGTGTGATCCTGAGCAAATTATTTAACATTGATTGCCTTCCCCAAAAAAAATTAAATACATAACCCAATCTTTTCTTTTTAAAAATAATTTATTTATTTTCAGTTTTCAACATTCATTTCCATAAGCTTTTGAGTTTTAAACTTTCTCCCCCTCTCTGTCCACCTCCCTTCCCAAGATGGCATGCAATCTGATATAGGTTCTACATATACATTCCTATTAAAAATCTTTTCACATTAGTCATGTTGTTAAGAAAAATTAGAATCAATAGGAGGAACCACAAGAAAGAAAAAATGAAACAAAATACAAAGGGAAAAAAAGAGCAAATAGCATGCTTCAATCTGCGTTCAAATTCCATAGTACTTTCTCTGGATGTGGAGAGCATTTTCTACCATGAGACTTTTGGAGATGTCTTAGAACCTTGCATTGCTGAGATAAGTCTATCAATGTTACTCATTACACATTGTGGCTGTTATTGTGTACAAAGTCCTCTTGGCTCTGTTCACTTCACTCAGCATCAGACCATATAAGTCTTTCCAGGTTTTTCTGAAGTCAGCCTGTTCATCATTTCTTATAGCATAATAGTATTTCATTACATTCCTATACAACAACTTGTTCAGCCATTCCCCAATTGATGGGCATCCCCTCAATTTCCAATTCTTTGCCAACACAAAAAGAGGTGCTATAAATATTTTTGTACGTATGGGTCCCTTTCCCATTTGTATGATCTCTTTAGGATACATAGTTTCTAATTGCTCTCCAAAATGGTTGGATCAGTTCGCAACCCCACCAAAAGTGCATTAATGTTCTGATCTTCCCACATCTTCTCCTACATTTATCATTGTCCTGTTTTGTCATGTTATCCAATCTGATCGGTGTGATGTGGTACCTCAGAGTTGTTTTGATTTGC